AAAATGCTCAAGAACACATCAAAAAACTTGATTTAGAAGTTTTAGTTTAATGAGTGAATTACACTCATCACAACAGCGGCGATTTGTACACAAAGCGACAACTGACATCTTCTCCAATTTGTGTAGGTTTGTGCACCGCCACACATTTTCCCTTCTTACAGAGGCGCTCCATCCATTATCGGAGATGATGGAGCTGTGAACATTGCTGCCCGCCACTCTGCTTGGTGTTTTTTTTTTTTTTTGGTCGTTGGTGGTTTGCTTGGTTGCATGGTGGATATGGCGATTGAGATGTGTTATGATGGTATTTTGTGTGGTGGTGGTGGTTTGTGGTGGTGGATTTGGCGGTTTAGGATGTTGAATCGCCTGCACAGCGATGTCACCATCGGAAGAGGTATGTCGTGACGTTGTGTTCTTTTTTGTTGGCGATGGTTTGGTGGTGTTGAGCAGGCGGCAATTGTGTGGCGATGGTCGTTTTGTTGTTACCAGTGTTTGTTGTTGGTGTTGTGGTGGGACGAGGTGTGATAGCGATTGTGACCAACTATTTGATTGATTAGTAACAAGTATTGGTAGTGTTTGATGTATGTGACCAATGTTTTGATTCTTTGTGACTAATATTAAACTGTGACATTAAAATTTGATAATTTATGACTAATAAATTTGAAAATATATGACCGATAATAAACTTTGACATATAAATTTTCTATTTTTGACCTATAAAATTTTTTATTTGTGACCTTGAAATAATCTGTGACTTATAAAATTTTTGATTTGTAACCTCAAAATAATCTATAACCAGTTAATTTGACAATATGTAATCAGTAAAAAAGTTGTAATCTATAATTATGTATATGTGACCATTAATTATATATTTTTGACTTTATTAAATTTAATTAATAAATATTTTTTAATTAATTAGCTAATACTCGTGTTTTGCATTTTAATCTTGACACCTAAGAATTGAATTTGATATACTTAACCCCGACTTTCGAATTTTTTTCCTTAATTAAATTATAGTCTATGGTGGATTAGAATGATTTCAACCATTGGTTCAAAGATGAAGGGCCAACTTTGCAATATCGATCACAAGAAAAATGGGGTTTTTTGGTACTCTCTGGATTTTATTTTGAATTAAGAAAGGTAGAAAAACACATACATGTTGGGAATTTTACGTCAATTCCATTTATTTCTATTTACTCGCAGGATCTTTTGTTGTTCAAAAGAATACTAGCAAACGGGGAAAATAAATAATATAACACAAAAATTGAATGGACCGTCAAAATTTTTCACTATATGAAAAATTTTTACAATCATATAGAATTTCACTTACTAGCCCAATCTTCAAGCATTACAAAGAGAAAAATAAACTCGAGCTTTATCACACCTACTTCTCTACCCAATGTACGAAAAGTCTCAAGATGTTAAGCTCACAATATTTTCCTCTCAGGTCAAATCTCTGGTCACACCTAAAATAAAAAAAAAAATCCACTATTTATAGGATCAATAACAAGTAAAAGAGTTAAATTTAAACTCAAACAAGACTCCTTTAACTTAACAAGGATTCGTTCATGTGCAAGACTCCAAAATCAGTTGTAAATTGGAGATCAAATTCTGCAAGGATTCTGCTCTCAATTTTAATTAGAAATCTTCCATGCAATAACTACTTTTATTATTTGCAATAGAAGTCCTTTAGCTTTTGACTTTTAAGGCAATTACCCAACAATCTCCACCTTGTCGAAAACGAGTCAAAATCTTGTCATCTCTTCTACAACTTTTAATCACAATACTTGGAAAAAGTAGTTAAGCTTTTGACACACCTTAATTGTCTCATACTCTACCATATGAGTATAACCGCTCAGAATTATTTGCGAACTTTGAGTATTTCATCGGCTACATGTCGAAACAACCCCGCTGATAGTTATGGTGCAGCTCTCCCACTGACTTTGCATCACAATACCACCACATACCTACGCACTTTGCATCAAATGTCAGTCAATGTTATGTGCAGATATGCTGACCCCACCAGTAAGAACACATCCTCTATCATAGCAACTGGCAACATGCAATGAAAACGTTCTCATCTTACTTTATAGCACCACATTCGCGTCTCCCTCCGCCAGGAGACACGCATTGTCCGATCCCAAGCAGTTCCAACAAGTTGCTTTCTTCCTCATGGAGTTGCCATTCTTCCTCTTTTCAGTCATAAGCACTGCATTGTCAAATTGAATATTTTGTCCCTAATCTTCTTTCTTCTGAGATCAAGTTGCTTGTCACTTCTGCGAAACTCGGAGATTCCTTCCCATACATCACAATTGGCTTGTTATATTCATAGGTAGATGGAAGAGACCAGATGAGCCGTAGCGCCTTATCCTCATCATCTATCTTCACTCCAATAGATTCTAGTTCTGAAACAATCCTGTTGAGAATACTCAGATGATCTGAGATTTTCGTACTTGCCTCCATGCGCAATGAATGGAATTTCTCCTTCAGGTACAATCGATTTGAAAGGCTCTTCGTGTGATATAGTTCTTCTAACTTCTCTCATGGTTCCTTTGTAGCAGATATTCCATGAATATTTGTAAAAACATTTTTAGCCAGACAAAGAGGAATCATGCGTGTAGCTTTCAAATCCAATTCTTTCCAATTCCCATTGCTTATACTGGATTCAGCTTCTTTATCGAAACTTTTGGTTGGTTTTCCCTTCAAAGCCTTGTGCAATCCAACTTGAATCAGTAAATCATTAACTTTTACTTGCCACAAGCCAAAATTAATTTTCCCGTCAAATTTATTCACGTCATATTTCAACGACGACATATTTTTCTGTTGCTCCAATACTTCGAACCACTTGACGCTCTAATACCACTTGTTGGAAATTTTACGTCAATTCCGTTTATTTCCATTTACCCACATGATCTTTTGTTATTCAAGAGAGTATTAGCAAATAAGGAAAAATAAAGAATATAATGCAAAAATTAAACGGACCGTCAAAACTTTTCACTATATGTAAAATTGTTACAATTATATAGAATTTCACTCATCAACCCAATCTCTTAATATTACAAAGAAAAAAAAAACTCGAGCTTTACAACACTTACTTTTCTACCCAATGTATGAAAAATCTCAAGATGTTAGGCTCACAATATTTTCCTCTCAAATGAACTCACTGTTCACACCCAAAATAATGAAATGCATCCACTATTTATACTTTATAGGATCAATAACAAAGTAAAAGAGTTTAACTTAAACTCAAATAAGACTCATTTAACTCAACAAGGATTCATTTATGTGCAAGACTCCAAAATTAGCTGTAAATTGGAGACCAAAATTTATAAGGATTCTACTCTTAACTTTAATTAGAAGTCTTTTATACAATAACGATATTTTATTATTTACAATAGAAGTCCTTCAACTTTTGACTTTTGAGACAATTACCCAACAATACACAAATAGAACAAAGAGAGAGCCACGACTGTGGTGATTATTGGGAAGAAAAAATGATTGCTTGCTGACCTTCTTCTTCAATATATGTTTTTCACCATTTGGGTTTTTCAAGTTTGATCTTGGAATGTTACATTCCATCTATTTTCTCTCTTTTATTGTTAAAAGAAAGAAAACTTAATGGTAATGCCTAGCTAAAGTTATTTATAATAATAAAAGAGGGCCTTCAAGGGCTTGCCTGGGAGTTTATTTTTTCACCAGTTTGGACTGATTTTGAATGACACCATTTATGAGAGGTTAACAAAATCGATGCTTGCTTGTTTTTTTGGGTATCATTTTGAATGGTTTAAAAATCATCCAAAGTCGATGTAGTGTAATTTTGACTAGTTAACTCAATCCACCAAATTAGAGAGTTTTGGTAATTTCTTGTATTCTCTTTTAATTTTACCTTCGGTAAGATAATTATTTCTACCCAAGAATAACTTTTAAATAAAAATATATTAACTAAAAAATAATCTATAAGCAAAAAAAAAAAATTATAAGTAAAAAAATAATTATAAGTAAAATATATTACTTATAAAATAAGAAAAATTGTAGTATAATTAAAAATTACTTATAAGTAAAAAATCATTTTCTTGTAAGAAACTTATATATAGATAAAAATACTAATATAAGACAAAAATTCACTTATAAAATACAAAAAATTACTTATAAATAAAAAATTCTACTAAGAGGAATATATGTAATTTTTTTCATTTTAAATATTTTCAAAACTGATGGATAATAAAATCTTAAACAAATGTCGGATAGTTTTAAAATCCACTACTAAAACTACTCAAAAATCAATACGCTCATAAACGTTCAAGATCAATAGGTATGCCTAAACACCCAAGCAGGTCCTAAAATAAGACCCTTTTTTTCATTTTATGAGTAATAAGATTTATCACTATTGGTGACCTACACCATTTTTGGTAAGCAATAAATTATAGATTTAACAAAATGAACCTCATATATCGATAATTCATTTAACCTATCGTTTAATATTATTGTGTTGTCACATAAACTTCTAATAACTAATATTATTCTAAATTTATTTTTAATTTTATTTTCCAAAAGCGATTTTAGTTTTAAATGTATAAAATTAAAATAAATAAAAAATAAAAGACCAGTCGAAAATCATGTTCATGAACGATAAAAATGAAATAAAATCAGATAAAAGGCAAGAGATGGGATGACAATCTTCTTTGCCTTAATTTCCCAATTATCCGGAACACCTTCCATTGAAAATATAAATTGGACTGGATGAGATAGGACAGGATAGGAGGGGACAAGATGGGACGAAATTAAGGCCCCATTTGGTAGAGATTTTTTGCCCCAAAAAATTGATTTTTTGACCGTTATTTTACTATTCAAGCCGTAATTTTTGACTTCTTCTCTCATATGTGGACCCCACTTTTCTTCTAACGGTCAAAAAATCAATTCTCAAAATTTCTACCAAACGGCCCTAAAACAGTTTTGCCAACCCTATATGAAATTTTATTTTTTTCCCCAAATTCCCAAATTTAACTTATTACAACCTACCCATTACCACTTGGAGCCCCGTCATGTTTCATTGTCTAACTTGGTCTCTCCAATAACGACACACATATACATCGCCGACGGCGACAGACAGAAACAAGCGACGTCTTTTTCCGGCGACGGGACGTAAATTAAAAGTCAAGAGATGAAGATTTTTGTGAAAACCCTGAAAGGCAGTCACTTCGAGATCGAAGTGAAACCGGAAGATACCGTACACCCACTTATCTCCTCTCACGCTCTCTTTATGCATAATATTTTCTGATGAAGTGTATAGAATATGTTAAATTGAATTAATTTTTAATTAGGGTTACGATATTGCTGTGGGTTTTGGGGTTCTGGGTTTTCTATTGTCTTGTACGGAATTTCTTCTCAAATTTTCACTGTTTTGGTCTTGAAATTCGTTTCTTTTCTTTCATTTTCTTTTTTTTCCCATCCCTACTGGCTTATTGCCTTGAATTTTCAATTTCAGTACAGATTCTCAATCTATGGTGGTGTTACTACGTGCTATTGCTCGCTGAACATTCTATCAAACTATGTTAATTGTTTTGAGTTTTCTGACAGTTAATTAAATCTCGTCAATTAGAAGGTGATAGTAAAAAAAATAATAATAATAAAAAAATTATGTCAATTGAAGTCTGAGTGGAAGGAAGTGGAGTGGAGAGCAAGGAAAAGTACTGGTGGTAATTGGCGTTTTGTTTACTATTAAAATATCTAAATGGGGTAATTGTCCAGCAGAAAGTGTTACTGCTATAGATCCCACTGTTTTCCTTATATTTTACCACTCAATCCTCTTCAGAAAAGCATTCACAATTCAATAATTATTTATTCTTCTTTAGTCATCTGAATCATCGATATAATCTTAACATTGTGCAAGTTCATAATGGGATCTTTGCAGGAACAAGCATTTTTTGTTTGGACAGATGATTTGCAACAGAATCTGTCTAATTTTACTACAGACAAATGTAATAATTAAGGAAGACGCTGAATCAGCATATCCTTGTCAGTTAACGTTGGCTCCACTGCATCTCATTTAACTAATACTCAGCCTGCCAAAGTATTTGACATGCTAAACATTTTTTGAGAATATATTCGTTTCTATGTATATTTTGCATTTTATGTAATTTTTCCTTAATCCTGAACCCCTTGTACTTAAAATTATAATTGACAGTCAATTATTTGAGTGGCTGGTTGTCACAGCCACATAAGCTTGTGTATTCAATTTTTTGGTTCTCTGTTAGTTTGATCTTTCTTGGTGGTTTATTAGGTGACAGTTGTGAAGAAGAATATTGAAACAAGTCAGGGTTCAGATGTCTATCCTGCTGCCCAGCAGATGCTTATTCATCAGGGGAAAGTTCTTAAAGATGAGACCACACTAGTGGAGAACAAAGTTGCCGAAAAAAGTTTTGTTGTCATTATGTTGAGCAAGGTACCTATTATCCATGTATCCAAACCCGTGACTTCCACATGATTAGCTTGAGAAGCATGAAGATCATATCAATAAGATCTGCAGATCATAGGTGTACAAGTTGATAGAAATGTATCGTCGCTAATATGATATAGGAGGACCAAATTGTCTAGAGTAGATGATCAAACTTTTTCAGCTACATTTGCCTATTGCACTGCAACCAAAGCAGTTTTTATTGGGTGTAATCCAATGCTTCCCTTCCCTTTCTTTACTTTTTTTGTTAAGTTGTGCGTGTGCACGTGTTGTGGTGTGGTGTGGTGTGTGTGTGTATCAGTGGCTGTGCCAATTTGTTGGTTTATTTATATATTTATTTTTTACATTTTAATTAGCTTTGTTTTATATAGGATGAAAATAGTATCAATTTCCTAGATTCCAATCTAATCTTGCATTTATTTCGAAAGAGAATTTCTTTAATAGGATAGCTTTTATACCTTCTTGTCACAACACTGAATTTTCAACTAATTATGTTTGCACTGTGTAACTACTGTAGAAGAAGGCTTCATCGAGTGAGGGTTCAACTGCATCTGCTACTCCTTCAAGTACTGTGAGTGCATCTAACACAATTTTGCTTGGTGTTTAATCAGTGTGTGCGTCTATATATATATATATATCTCACTAGTTTGGGCAAGGGATTGATATGGATTACTTACCTTTGGGAAATGGTTGAATAAAGTAAAAGTAAATAACATGCAATCACTCACATGCTCTTTTGCAAGATTGAATGTCTTTTCCTTGTAGCCCCCGTTTGGCCCTCATTTCATCGAGTGAGGGTTCAACTGCATCTGCTACTCCTTCAAGTACTGTGAGTGCATCTAACACAATTTTGCTTGGTGTTTAATCAGTGTGTGCGTCTATATATATATATATATATCCCATTAGTTTGGGCAAGGGATTGATATGGATTACTTACCTTTGGGAAATGGTTGAATAAAGTAAAAGTAAATAACATGCAATCACTCACATGCTCTTTTGCAAGATTGAATGTCTTTTCCTTGTAGCCCCGTTTGGCCCTCATTAATTTTGATTATAATGGGGGAATAGATTTTTTTTTTTTTTTTTAATTTGATGTTTGTAAAAGAATGGAGGTTTCAATCTGCGTGTAATATTGTTTTATTGAAGATTGTGTGGTTGAAAATAGGAGAGAGAAAATTTTAATTTAATTTGATGAGATGTAATGTGGGCCAAACGGCGGCGTATTTTCTAATGTATTATGCATTTCACCTTTGCACTCTTACAACCATGCATGCAATTGCTAATCTAGAGGGGGCCAAGCTAGGGGTAACTGGCCCTGAATTCGAAGATTTCAATTTTCTTTTCCTCCTGAACTTTGAATTTGGTACAATGCCTAAAGATAATGTGTTCATCTGCAGACTTCTTCAGACCCTACTTCCCCATACAAGAACATAAATCCCGTCAAAATTTATTTTCAAATTGGTAAAATAGCTGCCTCCACCATAGGGTGAAAAATACCCAAGATGTGTTTGCTGCCCTGTATTTAAATAGTAGATACTTCACTCGTTGATTGATTTGTTCTGGTAACTTTCTCAATGCTACATGTATTCGCATGTTATTGAGGTTATGAAGTAGACCTAATTTTGGATGCTTTTTTTTTTTTTTTGATAGATTTAATTTGTGTTAGCTGTTATTTGACATTGTACGCTTGTATAATGTTGCCAACATGTAAAATATTGTTATGTTACCTCGGTAACTAAGAAATAAAATCTAATTAGCTCTATAACTCTGACACTCCGTGTTGATACTGTCACTTCTCGGACACTTTGTCATAAATATTTTTCTTTTTTATTAAAAATATTATATATTTTAATTCAAAATTATTAGTAAATAACAAATATGTATTATTTTTAAAAGATTTCAATAATAAAAATTAATAACAAGTGTAATTCTAAATTTATATTATATAAATGAAGAATTTTTAGGAATTTAATCAGCGTGTTGGTGACACGTTGTGTCGGTATTTTTTATTTATTTTTTAAATCACGTGTGAGCATATTTAACACGTATCGTGTCGAACACGTGTTCGTGTCGGTGCATCATAGCTGATTAGGAGTGAGTTCTGTCTACTTGTGTTAACCATTGGGATGTCATTGAAGCCCTTGGCAGACTCACTAAAATAATTTCGTTTATATCCTCGAGGTGCTTCCTGTACAAATATAGTTCCTTGTATCTTACTAATGTGCCAAATCCATGATCTCGATAAAGGCTTGCATTTCTTGATGTACTATTACCTCAAGAAGGGAAGTTGATGTACATGTAAATGTTATTATGAAGTTTGCTTGCATTTGATCGGTGGGATGAGTACTAATTCTTTTCCTCTTTTCAGACCCAACCTGCATATAATACACCCCTGCCAACGCAGCCTGTAACGGCACCTGAGCTTCCTGCATCAACAGTTGTCCTGTGAGTTCCATCTCATTGGTCTAGTTTTCAGTTATGTAGGTAAAGAGATTCTTCTGTTTCAAGTTTTAGTTTAACCTTTTCAATTTCTATTGGATGTAGTGCACAATCTGTTCCTGCTGCGCCTTCTCCCCTTTCGTGAGTACCTATGTTCTTGAAGACATAACTTTCTGACGGTTCTTGCACTATTCAGTAATAATTTTTTATTTTTTATTTTTTGCCTTTTTTTTGTTCATAACAGTTCAGTGACAGATGTCTATGGTCAAGCAGCGTCAAATCTTGTTGCTGGAAGTAACTTGGAGGCTACTGTTCAAGAAATTCTTGATATAGGTGGAGGAAGCTGGGATAGAGACACAGTTGTTCGTGCTCTACGTGTCGCATATAACAATCCAGAGAGGGCTGTTGAGTACCTTTATTCAGTGAGTCTTCTCTCAAGGATTCTTCAACTTATCCAGATTTTACCTTTATGGTGACCACACTTTCCTTTTGCCAAAATGAAAAATATGACTGCAAGAACTGCATAGACGAATTCTTGTCCTCTGGTTTCTTGCATTGTTTATTGAGAACTGGAATTTCCATTCTTGTTTACTTTAGTTCCATCTTTTATAACCTAGGGGAAGGATTTTATTTCAGGGTATTCCTGAGCAAGCAGAAGTTCCTCCTGCAGGCCAACCTCCAGTGGCTCAACCTCCTGCTAGCGGGCAGCCTATGAATTCTTTGACACAGGCCACAGAGCCAGCAGTACCTTCCAGTGGGCCCAATGCTAATCCTTTAGACCTTTTCCCGCAGGCAGGAAATTTTTCTTACTATAATTTGATCTTCTATGAAAGAACGAAGGAAATGACTTCTAATTGGTTTTATCTTCTGGAACCAGGGCCTTCCAAATTTAGGCTCAAATGCAACTGCTGGCACCTTAGATTTTCTTCGGAATAGTCAACAGGTATGGAAGATGCTTTTCATCTGAAACACATTATTCTCTAAACAAAAAAAAAATATATGTTTTTATTATATTATTCATTCTTTCTTCACCTCTTTCCAGTTTCAAGCTCTGCGAGCCATGGTCCAAGCCAATCCACAAATATTGCAGGTACTGATTTTGGATATCCAATACACTTTCAGTTCAGGGGTTGTAATGCTCCTTTTTTCCTTGTAATGACACCATTCTTGGGACCTGCAGCCTATGCTTCAAGAGCTGGGAAAGCAAAATCCACAATTAGTGCGGTTAATTCAGGAGCATCAGGCTGACTTCCTACGCCTAATAAATGAACCAGTTGAAGGGGAGGGGTGAGAAGTTCTGCTATAGTTTTACCTATATCTTGGTCCACACTGCAACTTTCATTTGGTTATATGCCTTTATTATCATGTTCCTCTAGATCTGTGTTCCACCCTTAATTCTTTTTGCCTCTTCTCATGATTGATAACATAATTACAATAATGGTTTAGGAACATGCTTGGGCAGCTTGCTGAAGCAATGCCACAGACTCTGTCGGTCACAGTGGAAGAGCGGGAGGCAATTGCACGTGTAAGTTTTTCATTTCCTATCTAGTTCAATTTATGATAAATACGTAAATTACAGTTCATTAGATAATCATTTTCATCAACCATTCCTACTAGGTAACCGTAACTTGTACTGTTGTCTATGCTGATAGAATAAATTTGAAGTAACTTGATACTTAATTTTGAGATAATGTATGTTTAACAGCTAATATCGCATAGTTTTTGCTATTGGATCTCGATGCCACTCAGCGAATATTATACTCTTAAGATCTGAACAATACCAATAAGGCTGGACAAAACTTTCTTACCAACCCGAACCGAATCAAACCGACCTGAGCGGTTCTTTTTAAGTTAAATACCCAAACGGGTATATAAATCGGGAACTGATGGATTCAGTTTGGATCTCGGTTTTGTGTTCTATAGATCAAGAATCGAATCTCCCAAATTTTTTTACTTTAAATAAGCCAACTTATTTTATTTTTTTTGAAATAAATTCGCTAACTGATTATCATAAACTTAAGATATGATTTTCCTATTTCTAATTTCTACCAAGCACAATTTAATCAAATTAACATATGTTAGAAAAATCGAATTGAAAGTTCGGCTCCGCTTCTCTTTATTATTATGGGCTTGCTATTTTTTAATGGTTGTGATTTTAAAAGTCAAATCTATGAAGAACTCGATAAAAGGAGTCGTAAAAGATATCATGGGATTGAACTATGTTATTTAAGATTGAACATGTCATAACTAAAATTATGTAGCATTGTTGTAAATATAAAACAATCAATTATTGTACGGAACTTGGAAATCGAATTGAACCAAACTGAATGGAATAGAATCATGACAGTTCGATAATTAAATTTGGACCCGAAGATTCCACTTGCTAAATACCCGAAAATTTGGGTTAGGTTTGTTTCGGATCTAGACCATGTCTAAATACCGCCTTGTAAGCTTGCTGATTGTCAATTCAAATGCTTCTAGGTAGCTTTTATCCATTCCTATCCAAATTGGAATGGTAATTTATAATTAGTGAATGATGCTGAGAGTATTGCAATTTAGATTTAGTGCTTGTTTTGGGTTTCTTTACAAGTTGCTGAAATTATAATGTCATAGAAATGAGTGGTGGATAATTGGATAGTAACTGTAGATTCAATAAAATGTGTAGTTAAAATTAAAGTCTGACTTTGACATTAAATTATAAGGAACTTATAATGAAATTATGAAATGCAAACAAGACACGATGTTTGTTATAATAGTCTTCTCAGAATTTGTGGAATTCGTATGTTAATATTGCATTTTACTGTTGCATTTAGTGATGGGTGAATGGACATTTCTAAACATGTTACACTGGTCGTGCTGAGGTAAGTGTTCATCTATCCAAAATACATTCTGATATGTTGCCAATATTAACATCCTAATCTTCAGCAAGGCTTCTTGAATAACATTTGGCAAACGCTAATTTCTGACTTGAAGCATGCTTATTTGCAATCAGACTCATTTAAGTTTTGGTAACTATAATTAAACTCGGACAGTATTTATGCACCCCCCCCCAACCCCCCTCTCCTGGGTTACCAGCTCCTGAACTCTTGATGAAGGTATTATTTCACTGATAAGACACGTGCAGAAAAATAATGTATGGGTTGATGACTCACCTCCATAGTATTTTCCTCTTCTTTTCTTGTTTGTTTGTTTGAATCCTCAAGATATCATCAAAACCATGATAGAAGTAGAACAGAAAAAATGGCCATGTGATCTTTGTCTTCACGTATCTTAACAGTGTCACAATCATATGGAGCATTCTATTTCTTTTGCTGATAGGTAGTGCAAGTCATTTTCAAATCATGTATTATTCTTCTATGACAAGTAAATTATCAGTCACATCATGTTCTGCTTGTGACTAGCTGTTAATTTGATTTGCAGCTTGAAGCAATGGGTTTTGATCGAGCTTTGGTATTGGAAGTATATTTTGCTTGCAACAAGAACGAGGAACTCGCAGCAAACTATTTATTAGATCACATGCACGAATTTGATGAATGAAGCTGGTTCAAGTTACTGGATTCTTTTCATATTCATTTACTAGTCACTTCTTGTTTCCTTCTGTTATTTTGCAATGGCTTTTCATTGCCATATGGATTTTTATGGTTTTTTTCTAATGACTCTGTTCGTAACGGCTCTGATGAACAGTTTTTACTTTGGATACACAAGGTAGAACTGTTTAAATATTTGCCCTCTTATTGTACTTTCATGTCTCAATAGAAGCATTAACCGAGCCTTAGATGGCCTCTTATGACATGTTTGGTAAGTTGGATCGACCAATGTTGGGCAATAAAAGTACCCTCTGTTTTTTGGAAATCCATTGCATCCTTTACAGCGTAATCCCACCTCTTTTTTTTTTTCTTTTTTTTTTTTCGTTTTTTTGGCCAAAAATAATATGGGTGCAAAGGAATAATGACATGGCCATTTGGAATCACTTCGGTAGCGTTTGATAGTCATTGAAATTCCATGAAAAATGGAATTTCAATTCCATCTTCCACTTTTACATTATTAGATCCCCCCCCCCCCCCCCCTCCCATTTTTTTTTTTTTTTTTATTACCTAGAATTGAATTTCCATGTTTGGTGCCACATAAGCCATTTTCCATGAATTCAAGGAATTGCAATTCTCACCAAAATGGTGAGAATTGCAATTCTCGGTTATTGTAGCATTTTTTTTTTCGATTTTATTTTTATTTTTTATTTATTTTATTTTTTTGGCAATGGAAACAAATTCTAAGTATTATTGTAAAAAAAATATTTTCCTTTAATTAATAATTTTCATGTAAAATGATGCTAAACGAACACTAAAAGATGGACGATTTTTTTGATTTTTTGTTTTGGCAATGGGAACAATTTTCATGTCTAATGCTCGTAAATTTTATCATTTTAATTGACAATTTTCATGTAAAACAAGTCGAACGAACACAAAAAAACACTTATTTCAACATTTTTCACACGAAAAATTATATCAATCAAACACAATAATTTACAATTTTCAAGAAAATAATTTCTAAACAATTCAATTCTCTGGAATTCATTTTTTAGGCAATTCAATTTCATCTTTATAATCAAACGAACCCTTGGTCTATTGCTATGCCAATGTTCTTTTCAATCCATAGGAATTTTTATGTACCAGCTTTGGTTTCTTCATTAGTTTCACTACAACTCCCGGCTTCTCCTTTTCTGGGTTTTATCTTTATTTGGGCAAGCTTTATTTGAATTGATTGTCATCGACGCCTAAAAAGGTATGTTAAATAAAAGATGAGGATAACTAAGTCTTGAAAAGGCAAAATGAAGAGCCAAAATAGAAAGTATTGATGGAGTATAAAATTTTTCTTTCTACATTTATATTGTATTTGATTGTCAATATTTTTTTATGGAATGTGTTTTTTTTCATCCAAATTTTTACTTTTGTACTGTTTGATTTACATTTTTTCAATGGAAAATGTTACGTATTGTCATATTTGGCCAACCTACCTGGGCCAATGGCCCACTCAGGCCGAACCACGTGGCACTCCAGCCGAGGTGGCATATACTGCCAAGGTGGGCTATGGCCGAAGCCCTACAAGCCGAAGTCCACTAGCCGAGGCCTGTGAATGTAACCGAGGTCCACATGCAGCCTATGAGCCGAAATCATGATGCTGAAGCTGGTTGAACATAGCTGAAACCCTCAAGGGAAGTATTGTATGAAATGGTTGAAGCCCCGAAGCTGATGCAGGAACCTCCAAGCCACAAGGGAGCATCCTCCATGGTCACTTCTCCCAAGAGATCGTCTACACAAAGATCTTATTCGAATGATTGATGGAACGTTTGTCATAAGTATAAATGTCAAGTCTTGTCACTAGTATGGAGGCTCTGCACAAGCAATAAAGGCGCAGTAAGCTAGCAAGTCAAGCCCCATGCCTAGGATAAGATGTTTGAATCAAAGAGATAAGGTCACGTGCCACCTCATCCAAGGGCTCTCATTTCACATGTATCACTATAAATACTTCCCTTGTATAACATCAAAGGGCTAATGCAAGAATCAATACAAAGAACTACATTTTACTCAACTCTCTCTCATTTACTTGCAATACACAAATCGAGTTTGTATACATTTACGAACATCGGTTGGTAATTATTGTACAATTGGATCACGAACAACCCGTCGGATTCCGAACGTCACCAGCTCGCGTCGTTGGGCTACTCCCACGCCCTTTGAACCACTCGTTTTAGACCGTCCACGTGTCTTAACGTGTTGGACATTCGCCCACGTGTGCGTGGGTGGGACCGACATCTGTTGGCAACACTTTTTGGGGTCAACAGAAAACATTTTCATACTTTTGATCACATGATCATATATTCCTCAAAATTAAGGAAAATATTTTCTTTAGAGAATTAGGATTTTATTTTTTAGGAAATCTACTCTCTCTCTCTCTCTCTCATCCATCTCCTCTCTTATTTACACACTAATAAAAAATGGATAAGTACAAGATATTTCTAAGTTGGAAACTAAATCAAGCACATTTAATTAATAATTTTCATACAAATAAGTTTTAGGCAATTGAATTGCGTAAAATTTGTCTTCTTTCTATGCAAATTCTATGTTGGCAATTAAACATACCCTTAAAGTTGTTCTTTATAAGTAGAGAGTTAGTTGAAAATACTCTTAGATATTCATGATCAAGAAAAGTTTAGCATCTCAGTATCGATATTTCAAAATTGAAGGACAGTTTTCAGACATGCCTACAAGTTCAGGAAGAAACCAGATTCTTATCTCATTAAAACATGGTAATTAATCAATGTTGAGGAAATTGAAATAAATTAATGACAAACATGGAAATTGAATTAAATAATACTAGGTTGCCACAACCAAGTACAACTTCAATGAGAATTAAATGATTCTGCCTTCTATTTTGTCTGTTGTTCATGTCGCCTTAGCCGAATAAGAATTTCGTTTTCATCATAAAGAAATACTCTGAGTAACCACGTGTTTTGTCCTGCAAAAACAAACGAATCGTGTTATATGTACAAATTTTTTTTACAAACTCCCTTACTCACTATTCACAATAGGAGTAGGGATCACAAGTCGACATTTTTCAAATTCATATAGAGTCTGCTAATTTTGTGAGAGTTGCTATATCATTTTGTCAATAAAATTTTGTACAAATATCTTTATTCAAAACAAAATTGCAAAAGAGATTCAATAAAGCAGATATCTTACAGGAATTCAAAAAAGAATGACATGGCAGGGACTGAAGACAACTAAGCATTAAAAAACCGATATTAAAAATAATAATAATAAATAAATAAATAAAGGTCTGAGAGCGGGAAGCCAAAAATCTGAGAGAGGGAAGAAAGATCACCCCCACCAAATCTCCACGTCCAAGAATAGAGAAACCCGTCACCAAATCTCCACATCTCCGGCCAAGCAACCCGCAACATATATACTCCACATCTCTGGCCGAGCAAGAAGTGCGAAACCCAACTCCCACAACAGCGAAACCCACCATCGTCGGCCAAGCGGGAGTCCAATTCCCACAACGAAAGGTCAGCCATTTAAGCTTTTTTGTCGAGCATTATAGCCATTTGGTCGCTAGACAAATTCTAGGATTTTAGCTATTTGGTCCATTCACAAGTTTTACTTTTTTTGCTGAATGTAGCACAGCACACAGGACTTCAGGCCGAGGACATCCGTTACGTGGAGTAATTTTGGTATGTATAACAGAATTTGGCTATCAAATCATCAATTGTCACAGAAATCACTGCCTTTGGGCTGCAAATGTGAATTATATTGTTTATGTCGTATTTTCTGTACTTTTATGTAAGTTTGGGTGATGTATATGAAATTCTGCTTGTTGATTAATTCTGCAATTACCATTTCTACATTGAGTTAATCTGATAGCTTGTTTGTTGGGGGGAGCGCATTACCTATGAAATTTCATGTTTTAGATATTTGGTGCGTTTTAGCTAATCGGAGGGATACATGCGAAGTGATTTGTAGGATTTTAGCTATTTGTTGTGGAGCCATTTAGCTGTTTTGTCCATTTCCCCCAACACAACCTAGGATTGCATAATTTCTTCGACAGAATTGTATTATTTTGTAGTTGTTTGAGTTGAATTACAGTACAAATTGTTTGGATGGAGTCGTATTATTTTGTGGTTCTTTGAGTTGAATTATAGATCGTGGCTGTACATTACACATTCACTTGTGATAATGATGAATTTTGTGGCAGGAATTCCGTTGTACAAAAGCTTGATGTGAATGA